CTTTATAAGCTGAAAATAGTAGTGAAAACCATGTTCCGAAATTTTCCTAAATAATTGCGATATTGAATAATATAAATACTTACGTGATGAAAAATTTCACCAAAACTTTAAAAAGAATGATGATGGCAAACTGTTTAAAAAAATGCATCTGTGTTATATAAAGTAATTTGTGGACAATTTATGTTTCAAACTTCATAGCAATAACATAGCATACCTAGTTAATAACGGAGATATTACATTCTGAAAATGTAATGAAAAAAGTAAGAACCCGCCTTAAGTACGGAAGTTTGACTAGGCCCATGTAGCTGCGACTTTTGGGCACGATAAAATAGTTTTTATTCTACACCAAGTTATGTTCTTGCTTCAAGAGGGTTGGGAAAGGGCAACATTGACTGCCTAGCCAAGAAAATTTAGTTTGTTTCTCTAGCTAGGAATATGAATGAACTTCCATGGACACGTTTTAAATAAATTTGCAAAATTCTTTAAAAAAAAACTGAAATATCAAACCTGACTAAAGGTGTTTCTTTTAGGAACTATATAAGAAAAAATCCAGTATGAAATATTAGTACGAACAAATAATTAATCTAATTAACCTAATTTTTACAGCATTTTTTTTAACAATACTTTTTTTTTTTTTTGTTGAATATTTTTAATTTTATGGTGTAGGACAGAAAATATTGAATACACCATGGCGGGAAGGTGGTTTTCGCCTACGGTTCGCTTGATCATGTTTTCTTTCCACCCGAAAAACCCTTACATTGGCATACAATATATAATTTTTTGATCACGTAGCATTGCGAATGTTTTGGGAATGAATTTTATACAATTACACTTTAATAATAAAGTTCATTAACAGCAGCTCTCTCTTGTCATTCTGCGCTTTTTAAATAAATTGCAAACTATAACTTTGTAACAAATTCCAAAAATATTACATTTTTTAGCGTCGATACGAAATAATTAAATGTAATTAATTAAATGAATTACATTTTTCACAATTATAAAAAATATATATAAATAATTTTTAAAGTTTCACAGTTTGTTTTATTTATTTAAACGGGCTGATGATATAATGGAGGAAGTGAGAGATCAAAGAGGTGATTTTGCGTCGAAATACTCGAGTCTAATACAATGTGGTTTTTTTATGACGGAAATAAGTTTGGAGTTTTAATCTCCAAAATGCTGGTAATCAAGGAATTGAGTAACGGTATAAAACGCGATTGGATATCCATATAGGCCTGTAACTCCCTTCTCAATTGAGACAGTGAGATTTTCTTTAGACCGGGAAATCGGGCAATAAAATACACATAGGTCGGTGTTTGTTGATACCCGAAATATTACATTCCCTAGATAGATCATACTATTTTCGATACGTTATCCCCTACCTGTTAAAATAACCTACTGTACAATTGGTTGCCTATACTAATCATTAACAATTTTCTAAAGAAATGGAAATCCCAATGTTGACGTTTGGCAACAATTATGAACACCTAAAATATTAGGCGGGTTTTTCAAAACTTAAGAACCGCGGAAAATTTCAATAAAATACTACCCACCTATCGATGCTGATAAATACATTCAGTTTCGATCTTCCTAGTTTAAAAATAAATGTATACGCTGTAAGAAAGTAATATGAATGATACCGAAAAAATTACATGATTTTGAAGGATTGCAGAATGGAACCGAAACATATAGCTGAAAATTTTTACTAAAAATTTTACTCAATAAATCTAAAATATGCACAAAATTAAAAGTCTATAATTGCAGTTTATCAGTGATTCATATTTTTTAGAACTGGTTATACAAGGTGACAAAAAAATTAATTAATGAGGTGACATGTTTTATTGTCCATCCCTGTTTGCCGAAAATTTAAGGTTAAAGTACTGTTATTAATAGTATCACACTGCACCTATTCAAATGTCTATGAATCTCTGCTAAAATGTTGACCACGACATCAAAAAATTTTTACAAGAAAAACCTCACTAATAATATGCAAACGATGCTTCTTTCCCTAGACTTTAACAATCCACAAATACATTTTAGCTCATCATGAAAAGAAATAAAATTCTCGAAGTTAAATTTTATATCTTTTCGAACCTGTATTTGTTTAACTGTAATTTAGGGACTAGGGAAGTTCTGTTGAAATAACCTTCAACCAATTTGTTTTGCAATTTTTGCAGTGAATACTCACTCATTTACGTCTGAGTACGTACTTTATTTCCGAAATTTTATAACAGAAAATTTTGCCCGAAAATTTTATTTATTTATCCAAAATTTACAATAGTAAATGTCATTTAAATTTTATAAAATAACATAGTCATGTGGTTTATGAATCCATGTTGAGTTTTTACTTTTACCCCAGATATTCAAATTTTTGGAAACAAAATCCCAATTGTATGACATTTTGCAATTTTACTTTGAAACTGCAAAACGGGATGCTCTGTAATCTTGCCAATGTTTGGAGGTTGTCGTAGGCATAATAAATCCGTAATCAATCAATTTATCAATTTTGCCAAACAAATTCTAAACCAAATGTGCAAAATATTGTAGGTCTGTACTTGTGGTGTATCAATGCATTAATGTTTTTTATAATTACTTATAAGTACAGGGTAATTATTCAAAAATTAACGAAGATTTCATCATAAAATTTTGTCATGGAAAAACTCACTTGAAACACACGCCTTACATGCTTCTTTACCTGTAGTTTCACAGTCCACGCATATCGTTAATTTGACTTATAGGGGCTATAAAAAAAATTCGCAAATATAAGTTTTATAATTTTTCTAAGAATCTGTATTTGTTCGCCTGCAACTCATGGGCGAGGAAAGTTCTGTCTAAGTAATTTTAGACCAATTTTTTTCTTGAACAAATCAAGAACGATCCATTCTATTTTCCAAACAATTTGGAAATACAGCGCTACATGTAATTCAGTCCATCGGGAGACTTTCTAGTTTCGTGTTTTATGGATGTGTCATTACCTGTACAATATGAAAACATAGATCTGCCGTCTCCGTCTCTCTGTTTGTCTGTTTATTAATCTGTCTGGATTTATATCGATTTTTGTTAAACAGAAAATCCCCGAAACTACCAGACCGAATGTTGTCAAATTTTACATGTGTGCAATCAATATCGTGTAGATGGTAAAACGCTAACCAAACTTTGTCTAATCGTCGCAAATGAGTTTTAAAGTTTTTAACATATTTATACATGTGTAGTTTATGAATCCGTGTTGAATTTTTACCCGAGACGTCCAGATTTTTGGGAAAAAAATTTTGATCACAATATATCTGGTTATCCCCCAGAAATTTGATCACATCAAATTTTTTTGAAAATATCTAAAATGTGCAAAATATCATGAATCTGTACTTGTGAATTGTGATTTATCATTGCATTCATTTTTTTAAAACTGCTTATACAGGAAGACTAAAAAAATTAATGGATGAGTCAATTTATTTTAATTATAAATCAGGAACGGCTCACTCCATTTTCCCGAAACCTTGGGAAAATAACACTGTTATTATTAGCATTACAGTGCACCTATCCAAATTGATATACGTGTCCTTGCAATGTTACTGGCGTCATCACAAAATTTTGTAACAGAAACGTTCATTTGAAATATACACATAGCAGGCGTATTTACGTTTACTTCAAGATTACATACATGACTTTATTTTAACCTAGAAGAGTTATGAAAATAAAGGAAATTCGCAAAATTAATTCATATAATGTTTTGAAAAGTTGTATTTGTTGCACTGTTTTTCAACGGCAAGTGAGGTTTTTTCTGTCAAATAACCTTAGATCAATTTTTACTAGGTACTGCACCTATCTAGATTGATATGCGTATCTTTGTTAAAATGTTGATGACATCATAATAAAATTGTAGCTTCATTTTAAGTTATACAGGGTGTGGCCAATTCATCCTAAACAATTTTTAATTTTTTTTCATATATTATAAAATTAAGAAAATTGTGGATGGAAACAAGATACCTCCAAAATTATTTTAAATAATGTAAGTCTAATTTCATATATCCAACACTAAGTGGTGAATTAGGATATGGTGAAATATTGAGAATACGAGTTAAATTTTGAAGGGCTATGTTTTCTACATTTGGTCCCTAGAATTTTTAAAATTATTTTTTCGCTATTCTATAAGCAGTCCTCAATAACGTGTCATAGAGTTGGTACGCCATTTTTTCAGCACCCTGTAGAGGTTATAAAAATAAAATTTGCAAAATTAAATTTTGTAATTTTTCGAAGATGTTGAATTTTGATTTTTTGTGAAAATCTGAATACGTAGGGTAAACAAACAATCAGGTGGAATCATAAAGCTTAAGTATAGGAGTATGTTGTTTTATAAAATTCAAATAGCAATCACCAATTAGCATTTTGATGTAAGGTCATGAAACGAAGTCTATTTTCGGTGTGGCCACGAGATTGAGGGAGAACTTCTACAACTTCTCCCGACAAGAAACTGTTTCGAAAGCGGTAAATTTTTACTTCAACTGTCCAAAGGGTGTTTCTGAGATATGCTTATGTAATGATATACTCATGCACGCTCTTCCCTTAAAATTTTACATTTTATTCAAATTATAATTTATTTTAAATGCTAAAGGGCTCCCACACTAAATTTGATTATAGCACAAGAATCAATATAGTTATTTGCATTACGAGAGCAGAAAGTTCAGAAACTAAGTTATTGCGATTACCAGCGAGTTTGCCAAGCCGAGCGTTCGCGACTAGAATCATTACTATTAAATCATTTGTGGTTTCACACCGGGTGTTTAAGTTTTACTCATTTGTGTTTTTCTAAATGTTAAAAGTTGCATTTTCCGCATCTCAAAAGTTCAGTACACTTTAAAATGATAACGTTTAATATCGAGTGTCGTGTTACGAAATAAATAATGTGTCAGTGTTCATTCGTTGCACATTGTTGCTAATTATTACAAGTGCTTGTGGACTCATTTTTGAGAAAAAAATTTTCATTATTTCAATGACTGATTTAAATAAATTTTGTTCTTTTAAAATTGATGAAAACGGTGATTTGACCAACCGAGAAAAATGAAGAATTAAATTGATATTGTGAAGTACTACTTTTTTAGCTGTTCTTATCAGCTCGAAGTGAAAGGTCATATTGAAAGCAGAAGCAAATAAACTAAATAAATCACCAATACTGACTTAATTTCAGTAAAGAATCCGTAACTTGAGACGTTGGTGACGAGACAACAAAAATAAAAATAAAATGAAAGTGCTTATCTTAGTTATAACTGTGATTTTTATAAAAACAGAGGCTTGGATAGGTGTCATAGAGTTTAACGGCAGTAAGTATCAAAATTATATGCTAAATTGTTGTTTGTATGTAACTAATTTTAGATTATACAAGTCATTGTTATGCAGAACAATATAACATCGGTTCAATGGAAGAGAACGAAACAAGGCGCATTCAAGGATTATGTGCAGAGGCCGTATGTCAAAAAGATAGAAGTATTAAGTTAACAGGGTGATCATAATATTTTAATTACTTTTAGAAAGATAATAATACAACAAATGTTGCAGATGTGCACCTATGATGGTAAAACCACCTTGCTACATGGTTGATGGCAATATATCAAAACCATTCCCTACTTGCTGTTATGAGATACGTTGTGATAAATCCAGTTAAACCATAGAATTCAATTTTGTCTAAAGTTAACGACATTAAATAAATTGTATTCCAACTGCATTTTATTGAGCACAACATTTTCATTGGTGTAATAGTCGGCCACTACAAAGTACAAAATCAGTTTGAAAATATTAAATATAAATTTTACTGTTCATTTTTACTTTCCGAACGTAAACTAAGGAAGCACTGTAACTGAGTCTATAGGGCAACTGATTAATTTCATGTAAAAAAAATCAAAATACAAAATTTTCCATCATAACTTTGAAATTGCATAACCAAACCGATTGCTCTGAAAGCTTGTAAACATTTTAAAGTTATTATAAGCATGGTAAATTGTTAATCAAAATTTATCCGTTTATCGTTTACTTATGGTTTAAGAGTGCATTATTATTTTTTTTTTCACTAGCAGCCATGACGCATGCAAATGTCGACTCATTTAGTGGTAGCAAATTCAACTTTTGCGACCACCGGTTCAAAAAGAAAAATTGAGGTTATGTACGCAATGTTTGATGTGATTATTTCTTAAAAAATGAACAAATGTGTGCTACAAACATTACTTGAGTATACGCATGGTAGTTGGTAGACGGTAGAAGATAAAATGATTAACTCAGCGACAAGTATAAACGGTTTTCTTTGTGTTGAAGATTTAGATTAAGTTTGATTAGAAATCAAAACAAAATCATGTTGCGTCAAGAAATTGAACGTTTATTTTTTCAGTTTATTGTCTTATGGTTTCTACTAGTGAAAAAAATAGTATATTAACCACGGTTGCAAAGCCACTTCTAGACCTCGCGCTTCTGAGCCCTCGACGCTGCGCGTCTCGGGTTCTAATTTGCGCTCGGTCTAGAATGCTTGGCTCTGCAACCTTGGCTAATAATATACTATTTAGAATTACTTATACAGGGTAACTCAAAAAAATGAATGAATGAAGCAGTTTACTTTGTTATTCAAACAAGAGCAGCTCACCCATTTTTCCCGAAATTTTGGGTATACAGTACGGTTATTAGGTTATTACTAGCATTACACTGTGCCTATCTAAACTTAGTGTCCTTGCTACAATATTCATGACGTCGTCACAATTTTTTTTTAAGAGAAAACTTGCTTAGAACATATTACACACGTATGCGTGTAAAAAATTAAATTCGCAATATTAAATTTTACCATTTTTCAAAGAAGCTGCATCCGAACGACTGTAGTTCAGAAGCGAGGAACATTTTGTCTAAATAACATTAGATCGATTTTTAAATATGAACTTAGGTACAATTCTTGTTTATAGAGTGAAAATACAAACAATATAATTGTATGAAGTTAATGTTAGACGAATTTGAACTTGACTTTTTATTCTTTTATACAGTGTTGTTTTAAAGCTAGCTCCCGGCCCGGCACCCTTAGTATTTAAAAATCACTGCAGATGCAGCTTTGAAATGTAAAACATATGGATAAATAATCAAGTGATGACATATGTATGGGTAATAGTACTTCTATTATATACCGAAGTGGAAGCTGTTTTATTCCTTTCGAGAGTAAAGATTTTTTTTACCCAGGAGCACAACCCGAGGCGAACTATTTGTCGAGAAAGGAATGAAACTTTCCCAGCGGTTTGTATGCTATTTTATTCACACACAGTCGTATTAAATTGCGTTAAAAAAACGATCGAAGTTTATTTCAACAGAACTTCCCTCGCCCCTGAAGTTCAGTCCAACAAATCTCGCTTCTTCGAAAAATTACAAAATTTGATTTTGTGATTTTTGTATTGTAGTAACTTCTGTAAAGTAAAAACCCGTACCACCGGGGTGCAAACTGCAAATATATGTAAACCATAACGAACGGGAAAAATGTACTCGTAGTAATTACATGCTTAACTTCGAGTGTTTATACTTTTAAAGAATTCGACTATAATTACGTACTATTACGGTCAAAAGTGTTTGGTTGTTAATGCCGCTTAAATAATATTGGATTTATGAAGGAAGCTCTAGAAATGATAAGCTTATTTTTTGATGATGTGATGTCAACATGTTCTTGAAGCTAATTCTGTTAATGTTTGTTTCGCTGGGCTTCATTGAATTGAAAATTAAAAATGTATACTAAGATACCAGTTTTAATAATAATAATAATGTTAGATTGTTACGATTTTGGGGAAAAGTTTTACTCATGGGTTAATTAAGTTTGTACAATATTAGGTGTAGTAAACTCACAACTCAATATTTGGTCATGCCTGGTCCAAAACTTTTTCTAGCCTGGAAGATTTGGAAAGACGCAAATTCCAGTGATAGTGATCCTCCTCTAACGTAGAGATCAAGATCTCTCTCAGACCCAGAGGTTTGCCACCTCTTTGCCGATATCGCCCGATTAAGCCAGTTTTGCGTCACTTGTTTACAATGTAGGTCGCAGTACTTTTTTATACAGATAGTTGTTTTTCTACTACTACGAACGGACGGACAGACATACGGAAACAGGAGACCATTTTTCGTATTCTTGGGTCACGACACATCGGGAAAATATGAAAGTATCCAGTCGTCCGATGGACTCGATTATAATACTTCCATAGCTAACGCTCGGGAAGCAAAAATGGTCTAAACTTATTTACACAGTCAACAGGTCAACAACTACAGATTCTTTGAAAATTTGTAAAATTTAATTTTGCTAATTTTATTCCCGAGCGTAATCTATGGAAGTATAGTAATCGAGTCCATTGGGCGACTCGCTACTTTCACGTTTCTCGACGTTTCATGAGCCCTAGATTACGACAAAATGGGTATCCCGTTTCTGTCTGTTTGTCGTGTGCGTCTGTCTATCTTTGTTGATTTTTATTAGGCAGATCATCTCCGAAACTACTGGATCGATTGTTGATGACAACATGATGACGTCACATTAGAAATGTCTACATTAAGATAATGTAAATGTTATGCAGTAATATACTCCTAATCTTGTGGCTTGTGGTATACGAATTCGCTCTGAGTTTCTCCCCTAGGCATCCAAATTTTCGCAAAAATGGTTCGCAGATTATTATAATAATCTTTTACGAGCACCGACGGCCAAGGTTCTTAGTGACGCAGCCCAATACACACCCGGATTCACACTTGTATCGTGCAAATGGTCAAATAATCGAGAAAACTATTGCGCGTTCGATCGTCAACGCGGTCTTCTCTTTCTTTCTCTTACACTGTGACTTGTACTTTCTAAAAAGAAATTTCGTTAAATCAAATTTTATCATTTTTCAAGAAATAGGACTGTACTCCAGTAACGAGAAATAACCAATTGTGTTATTATAAACTCTATAAGTTAAAAAAATTGGTCAAAGGTTACTTCAACAGAACTTCCCTCGCTCTTGAAGTACAGTCCAACAAATTCCGCTTTTTTGAAGGATCATAAAAAGTTTTTATTTTCTGATAAACTTTATATTCAAAGCATTCGGTTTTGTAGTTCCTGAGTAAACCAATAAAATAAATTTACGCATTCATTTTTTTTGAGTCACCCGGTATATGCAAATTCAAAAAATATGAACGGAATGATAAATTACAAGTATAGACTCATCATATTTTGTATATTCTAGATAGGATTTATTCGGCAAACTTTTGAGCTCACGTCACAAGTTTTTTGGAGAAGATAACCAAATATATTTTGACTAAAAATTTATTATGCTCTTTATAACCTTAAAATATCTGCAAGATTTCAAAACATTCGGTTGTGTAGTTCCTGATTAAATCAATAAAATACATTTACGCATTCATTATTTCTTTTGGGTCATCCTGTATATACAAATCCAAAAAATATGAATGGAATGATAAATCACAAGAACAGCGCAGACTCATCATATTTTGTACATTCTAGATAGGATTTATTCGGCAAACTTTCGAGCTGACGTCATCAATTTTTTGGAGGGGATAAGCAAATATATTTTGACTGAACATTTATTATGCTCTTTATAACCTTAAAACATCTGCAAGATTTCAAAGCATTCGGTTTTGTAGTTCCTGAGTAAATCAGTAAAATAAATTTACGCATTCATTAATTTTTTTGAGTTACCCTGTATATGCAAAACCAAAAAATATGAATGGTCTGATATATCACAAGTACAGACTCATCATATTTTGTGCATTTTAGATAGGATTTATTCGGCAAACTTTTGAGCTGACGTCATCAAGTTTTTGGAGGGGATAACCAAATATATTTTAACTAAAGATTTATGATGCTCTTTATAGTCTTAAAACATCTGCAACATTTCAAAACATTCGGGTTAGCAGATTCAAAATTAAATTGCAAAATATTGTTTTATAATTTGGATTTTTTTTCCAAAAATCTGGACGTTTCGGGTAAAAACTCAATTCGGAGTCGTAAACTACATGTGTAGGACTATGTTATTTTATACAATTTAAAATCCATTTATTATGTACAATTTTGAAGTGACGTCATCGTATTAGTGGTGGGGATGATTAGACAAATTTTGGTTAGTGTTTTACCATCTATATACATGATATTCCTAAAATAAGTACAAAAGTTCACAACAATCGGTCCAGTACTTTCGGAGATTATCTGTCTAATAAAAATCCGGGACGGCAGACAGACGGACAGACGGACAGACGGACAGACGGACAGACAGACGGAAATGGGAGACCTATTTCTTCGTCTTCTAGGGGTCATGACAGATCGAGAAAACGTAAAAGTAGAGAGTCGGCCGACGGACTCGATTACAATACTTCCTTTGCTTACGCTCGGGAAGTAAAAAAAAGTAAACGGCGAAGTTCGGCATCAAACCTACTGCCACATGTCGCACGGCTTCGCCGCAGTTCTCCTTGTTCCTGACTTAGCCACTGGGCCCGGTGTTGGTAATATAACGTTAATATAACCTTGCAAATTAATGTCTTTGTGAAAATTTGAACATTTAGTGAAAAAACTGAAAGCACTACAACTATTGGAGTATATTTTTGTATAAGATTCAAATCATTGTAAAATACAGTTCATTGAAATGACGTCATCAAATTGTTGGTTGGGACGATTATCAAAATTTTGGATAGCATTTAACCATCCACATGTTATTTCTAATATACATAAAAA